TTAACATCTACCTCTTGGTTTATATTGATTTTTCTTACTGTTACTTTCTTTTTGTTGCCATAGAGTGGAAATGTTTTGGCAGTCAGCAGGTGCTTTTAATGGCAATAAGGTGTCTTAGCAGGTAGCACTGAATAGCAAAACGCCTGGTAATTTTATTGCAGGCAGTTTTTTATCTGAAAAGTACTAAACTAAATCTCAACAGAAGTTTTAAGAACAAGTACAGAATAATACCATAATAACAAAATAACGCCATCAGTGCAACTTCTTTGGTTACACCTTGAAAAGTAACAGGTTTGGCTGGGATTTTTGATATTTTTCAGACAAATAGCTGATTTTTCATTAATTATTGACCTCAAATGAAATATAACTTGTAATTAACTTAAAAAAAAACCAAAAAGTAGCATATAGAAAGCAAACAAATGTTTTCTATTAGAGTAGTTAGACTTGTTTACGGAAGTCAATTAGACTATTAAATTATTTACTAGTTGGTTTTCTGTCAAGTGCTTTTTAAAGGAACAGATTTTGCGAGGAGGAAAGTTTAATAATGGCAGTAGCATGAGTTATATAAGTATGATTCCAATTGCACTATAATTTATTAATGAAGCACAAATAAGCAACTTTTACCATGCTTTTAAAAAGGTTTCAAACAAAATAATGAACTCATAAAGACCACTGCTAGAGGTAATGCCAAATTACTGTTATGATGGAGCAAGCACAGCATCTGGAATAGGTACTTTGCAGCTGTTAGTGAATAACAACTCCAATGATGCTTTTGCCATCCTATGGATGACCTGCTATAGTAGGTGCTGTAGTAACACTTGCGGAATTATCTTTTGGTTTATAACAAGCTGTAACTGGGCTTTTCAATTTGTAAAATAGTTTTTCTGGTGGTGGCTCAAATTTTTTTTAATGGGAAGATGTAAACCATAACAAGAACTGTTTGGTTATAAATGTTGAAATGGTTGTTAAATGAACACTCTGGGCACCACAACAACTTTATTGAAATTATGCTGTTATGGTGCCAGGAGGTCTCTGTACACCGTGTTACCTTCAGGGATTAAACTACTAACCAGTCCTGCACTGGTCAGCTCTTCCCTTGAAGCCCACAGCTTTAAACAGGACGTCTCAAACAGGGGCATGCCACTGATCGAGACTGAGAGCTTTAGCTAACTTACAAACTAGGATGAGAAACCTATGTCATTTTGTCACTCATTTTTGTGAATGAAGAGCTACTGATACGTTGAGATTGTCAGCAGGCCGCTGTCTGAGGCTTCCTGCTTGACTCGCACATAACTTTAAATAGAAAATCTATGAAGGATGGTTAGTTTAAAGTCTTTCACAGTCATTAGTTCTGTAACATCACAGTATACTTTTCAAAATAGATTTAGTCTAACAGGTAGAGGCAAATCGCTGTAATTAGTTTTGTAAATAATTGGAATTTTTTTTGTAAGAAATAAAAGATCAGTTGAATTGCCCATAATAAACTAATGAAGCCCACTAACCTGATGGCTACCACCTGGCACCCTGACAGGGTACTTCCATCAAGCTCGATTCCTCCAGGATACAGGAGTGCTTCAGCCGCTAGCTGCCACAACTTGATTGAGGTCTCAACGTCGCTTCCCGCCCTGGAACAGGGTCCTGGGTACAGCTTCAAGTGATTAAGTGCTCCTGCAGAAAGTATAGCTAATTCACCCAAACATTAGCCCAGACTGGATGAAGATGCTTTATTATGGCCAAATTGCCTACTTATATTCACAAACCCCAGCAGAGGTTACACAATACAATGCAAGCCCCTCCCAAAGATCTCTGTGCCTTGGGGATAATTGAGTTAAAGACTGGTAAGATAATTATCTCCCAGGAGCAGAGAGGCAAACACAAAAACATAAAAAATAACAATATACAGTAACCCCATATATCATACATCCCCAAATAGCCCTGATCTGAGTGCCCAAGTTCTCCAAATAGCGCTCAGATCGATGTAGTGTAGGGGAAAGGCCACCATGTTAACGTTCTGACCAAATACGGGGTGCTCCACCTGCATGTCAGATAGCCTTTGTTCCCCTTTGTCCGGGAATCGCATGGTTACCTCATGCTGAAAACAGTTCCATAACATTTGTGGCTGAATACTGCTGAGATAGCCGGGGACCCAATAAGTCCTCATGCCGAAAATAGTTCCATAGCGGTTGCGGCTAAGTACCACTGAGGACCATTTGTGGCTTTTGGTTCATGCGAATGGCCATCAGGGAGCTAGCATTCGGTTCCATTTGAATGAAGGGAAAAACAAGGGGCACCCAAGGAAAGCTGCTAATGGAGGCTGTGACCACAGTCCCAGAGACGTAGACCACAGTTAGTGGGCAGGAGGCCAGCTTCCACGCTTCTCCAGGAGTTTGTGGCAAATGTCCGAGGAAAAGAGCGTTTGTGGCACTATTTAATGGCTTAATGGCAGAATTTATATAATTCTGTTTACGAATTGGAACATGGACAATTGCTATTTAGTGAATAGATTCTGCCATCCGCTGTTATTCCAAAATAATAATCTTTGTTGCTCAAAGTGTAGATCCCCAAATGTAGAACTGCATTTTTCATATTGCTTTGCCATTCTAACAAATGACAAATCATCATGGCAGAGGCACTTGAACAATATCTTGGGATCTCCAGTTTGCCCAGCCCTGCTGTAGAATGTACATCCTCACTTTTTTTTAATGCCAGACAAATATCTGAATAATGAATGATTGGGGCATTAACTCATCATGGGTAGGTAGGTATATAAGCTGAGCTGCCATACAAAGACTAAGGATGATCCATGTGCGGAGTGCCTTTTAGTTCAATACTTCCTGAATCTTAATATACTGTATATGTATAGAAGTTTCCCACTATTATTTTTTTTACTTGTTGTAGATTATGGGCAGATTAGTATTCATTTGCCAGACATGCATAAACATTTGGAACTTTAGATTTAAACCCTTCCTATCAAGCCAGTGTTCTGTAACATTAGATGCATATTTAAAAAATAAACTGTACTTTTAACATAATACTTAAGGTAAAATTGCTTTTACAACTGCAAGTTTATCAACTAGTTATTTTCTGAAATTAATGTATTCTCACTGGCATATTACTAGTTTTTGAAATATATGTTTGATTTAAGTATTAGACCTTGCATTCATGATTTTCCAAAGCTAAGTCCCAGCATTTTAGAAGTATTTAATTATTAACATATTCAAAGTATGTAATTATTAATGTATTTAATTTTGGTGTATTTGTGCAACAGACTGGCCATATGAACATCAGGCCAAGTTCCAGACAACGTTCATCTAGAGTTAGTTACACCATGCAAGATTCTATGCTATTACCATAAAGCTCCAACATAAACCTCCTCATTTTCATCTTGTTTATTAGAATATTATTCTTCTTTATCTATAATGTGCCAACATCTTCCATGGAAATATCCATGGGTACAGTTGGTACAAGTAAAAAGGCAGATGTACATCTAATACATCTAAGAGACAATACAAAATGTGTAAAAGGAACCTTTTCCCATGGTAAGTTACAATGTTGTTGGGTAGAGAGGGTGTGAAACTGGAGGTGGGGACTGCAGAGGTGAGAATGATATTATTATAGAGTAAGCTGTGGGCATTTATTGGGTACGTGAAATGCACTTCTTACTGAGTTGGGTGGTAGGCTTCCATGAACAAAAGGAAACATTATTATTACATTAAAGGACAGAGGAAAAGAGACCTGAGTGTAATCAGCATAAAGGTGACATTTGAGGTCATAGCTGATATGTATGCCCAGTAAAGATCTCTAAATGGAGAAGTGTAGAGGACCCAAGACAGAGCCTTGAGGTAATTTAATTGACTGAAGAATTAAATAGGAGAAGTAACCAGCAAATAACACAGAAAAGGACCTGTTATAAAGATAAGAGTGGATTCAAAAGACAGCAGTGTTGCAGAGACCAAGAGAGGTGAGAATCTATAAGAGTAGGAGGTGGCCAACCATGTCCAAGGCAGCTTCGAGGTCAAGTAAGATGAGTATAGAGTAATGGTCATAGCATAAAGAAGGTCATTAGTAACCTTGCTGAAGTCGGTTTCAGTGAAGTGTTGGGGATGGAAACCAGATTTCAAAGGGTCAAGTGGGGAGGTGAAGGACAAGATGAGGGTTAGGCTGTTGTATGCCAGTTTTCCCATGTGTTTTGATGTTAGCAAAAGCAGTGATATGGAACAATAGTTTGCATAAGAATTAGGGTCAAGGGTATGGGCGTGGCATTTGCATTTGGGCATGACATTTGCATTTTGGAAAGAGGATGGGAATAGTGGTATCTCTAGGATTCATTTTTAGGGGGGCACATGGTGGGCCAGAGGCAATAGTAGGGGGGTAATTATAAAACATGTATGTATGTGTGTGTGTGTGTGTATATATACACACGCTCCCTTAATGCCTCTGCAAACTGAAGTCTCAGCAGGTAGGTAATGTGTCACACATTAGATGTAGCCGCACTGTCCATTCAGCTCGCATCTAGGCCATGGATTGAAGAATCCAAGTCTTTTCCCCCCTCTACCATCCATGTCTCTGTTTCCCTCCCCTCTTCTTCCATGTCGTGGATATCAGTTATATTGTGTGCAGTGTGTCCACACAGCCACACACACACAGAGGCAAACAGCCACACACACATAGTTACAATCACACATAGGCACACAACCACACAGACAGAGGCAGATAGTCACACGCAGTTACAGTCACACACACACACACACATATTTACAGTCACACATAGGCACACAGCCACACACACACAGAGCCAGGCAGTCATACACACACACAATTACAGTCACACACAGGCAGACAGTCACACACACACACACACAGTTACAGTCATAGATAGGCACACAATGACACACGCACACAGAGGCAGTCTCACACACACACACACACACACGCATACAGAGGCAGACAGACACACACACAGTTACAGTCATACACAGGCACACACACACAGAGGCAGACAGCCGGCAGACAGCCAAACACACAGAGGCAGACAGTTACAGTCACATACAAGCAGACAGTCAAACACACAAAGACGGACAGTCACACACACAGTTACAGTCACAAACAGGCAGACAGTCACACACACACACACACAGTTACAGTCACATACAGGCAGATAGTCAAACAAACACACAGAGACAGACAGTCACTCACAAACACAGTTACAGTCACACACAGGCAGAAAGTCAAACAGAGAGGCAGACACAGTCACACACAGTTACAATCACACACACACACACACACACTTACGGGCTGGTCCATTATGGGCTCCTGGAGTCTGGATGTTGGGGAAGCAGGGACTTCTTACTGCTTCCCCCTTCGTGTGCAGTAGTTGCCCCGACCAATGTCTTCTGGGCACCTTTAACCCTGCCTCAATCATCATTTGGCCCTGCCCCCGCTGCACGGTAAGCCCCACCACAATGTTTTTCTTTTGTTTTTTTTAATAATTCCGGGTGGGGGATTATCTTCACCAGGGTCCATTAAAAACAAACAAACACATTGCCCTTGATACAGTACCTGCATTTGGGGGGCATAAGGAGGGGCACGGCATGATGTAGGGGGGCCCCCTTGAACTCCCCCCGAGCGACGCCACTGAATTGGAACAAATTGCTAGAAAAGTATAGTTTGCAATTGTAAGTAATATCAAGAGTGAGAGTGGAAAACAGAGAAGGTATTAGATGTGAAGAGATAGGGTCAAGCAGGCAGGCAGTTAGGTGTGAAATTAACAGTAAAAAAGTTAACACTTGGTGGCTGGGAGGAAGAAGCAAAGTGTAGTGGAGGATGTAGATGGAATATTGCAAGCTTTAGTCAATAAGTTGCTTTGGATAATATGTCGTTTTTTAAAGATGTAGTCTGGTAGGCCTTGAGCGCAAAAGTCAGATCAGGGGAATGATGCAAGTGGGTACATGAGAAAGTTGAAAGTAGAGAAAAGTAATTTAGGATTGGAGGAAAGAGTAGATATTGAGTTAAGTATGTTTGCTTGGCTAAGTGAAAGTCAGGATAATTTATTGTGGATGAAATCAGTGTTTGATTAAATTGCCAGGGCTATAAGTGACTGCATGGAGTTTTGTTCAGTTAGGGGTAGCAAGAAGGCCCAGTGCAGAGGAGAGTATATTATTGTAGCAGGCTTTAGAAAGATCAGGGCAGGTCATAGTGAAAGTATAAGGGAGACGTTGTTGAATAAGTTTGCACAATTGGATAGGATAGCATGTGTTTACACTGTGATAGCTACTCAAGGTGCTAACAATGATTTTTTTATTATGTTCAATGTAACCTGTACCTTTTGGGAAAAAAAAGTGGAATGATCATTATCGTGGGTCATGAATATTTTATGGCCCTCCAATATTAATGCAAGACATTAAGAAATAAATGAAAAATAAAAATACTGTTCATGTTTTTTATTTGTCCATAAGAATCAATCTAGACACAAAAAAAACATTGTTTAATTTGATGTGCTTTCTGTGCATCCACTTTTCACAACATAATAAGGCTTATAATCTAGTGATAGACATTCAATGAATTATTTGTAAAGGAATCAGTATTCAGAGGGTTAACTGATGTGTATATCTCCAGGAAAAATAACAAACATTGTTAACCTCTCCTATTCATTAAACAGCTTAAAATACAGAACATGGCTCTGCTTGCTCTTTCTTGTTGTAGGAAGACCATTACCTCAGTTTAATGTTTATAAAGCTTTAACTGCCCTTGATAATTATATAACATATCTCAAGGCTACTACACTGCATGGAAGTAGAGATTGCCAGTGGAACCATTCCCTGTGCTTACCGGCAGGTCCATTTCCCCATTTCAGGTCTCTTAAAGGAATACTATAGTGTCAGGAATACACCTGTGTATTCCTGACACTCCCCAGTCCCCCTCCGATCACATGGAAACAGTGAATTTACTCACCTCATTTCCCACGCCTGTCTCACCATGGCTGGTTCCACCTCCATGGCCAAGATCATCAATCTCGCACACTGTGCAGTACTGGACTAGTAATTACTTTTAGTGACTGCCACTAGAGGTGTTATTTACATTGAAACTGTTGTAAGGACAGGCTGTGGTAACTTGAACCACTACATTAAACTGTAGTTGTTCTGGTTACTAAAGTGTCCCTTTAAGTAGTCAGAGCCTGCAGTATGTAGGATGTGAAAAGTGTTCCTGGGGATCAAGACAGTCATCATTATTTCAGGTTCACCACCAGCTTCAGGCAGAGGAGATTGTCCACACTGATTGAAAAGTATCACATACTGATCGAAATCGCCTGCATGTAATCAAGACTCACGTCACAACATTGTCCTTGCTTGTCTTTACCAAGCTTCTTCACTTAACCTAATGCGTGTGTGTTTACCACATGCACTTGAACTGAGTTATTCAGTTGAATGAATGATTGGACGCTGTAAGTGCTACTGTGCTTATGGGAGCAACAGGGTTAGCTTCTACATTAAAATATATTCTGTGAAACAAACAGAGTTTTAACTACTTCCAAAATACTTCAGAATTGGTTAGCTTTAGGCAGCCAAACACTACAGCATTCATGGGTTCTTTTGAGAGAATAGACAGTTACATATATTGAAAAACATGTTGTTGATTTAAAATAATGGTGAAAACATGCCATTTTAGGTGCACAAACCCATGGGATTGTCCCTGAATATTTTAATACTATTTAGAGGTGGTCCATTTGATCCTTATAATATTCTATTTATACACAGCTTTCAGCCAGCTCTCTTGGTATTAAGCCAAGCATAAATTTGTACTTAGACATTTCATTGAAAATAAGTTATGTCATTATTCCTCTATATCCAGCAATTATATGCAAAACAACAAGGAAGTGTATATACTCATTTACTACAATAGCCAATTAGGTCACTGCTAGTCGACCTAGAATGTTCAAGCAATCCCTGAGAGGCCAACCTGTGACCTCTCTTTAGTTGGTTTAAATATTGTACTATGTTCCATTAGTGAGAAATATATACATACATTAGAGATGTACAATGAGCTTAAATGTTCATTTAAATGTAAACGGAAAGTGATTTTGTGTTCAGTCATTGTATGTGTCAAAAGCATGGTTTAAATTAAATTGAAAAATAAGATATCTTCCCACCTAGTTCTGGAGTGAATATAAACATTGTGGAAATACCAATTTATTAGAGGCACACTACAAGTCCTTGATACTTTGCCAACCATTTTCTATATTTTGGATGGAAATGAGGTTATGGGTATTTTTGTCAGATAACACTAATTGGACAGGTATTTTAAAAGTCCAGGATTAGACATTTTAATTTCCCTCAGACTTTTTATAATGGTATTCACTTGTCAGACATACGTAAACATTTTGTTCCTCTCATAGAAAGTAATAGCTTTAGTTTCAACTCTCTATGTTAACCTAGTGTTTTGTAACATTAGATGCATATTTAAAAAAACAAAACAAAAAAACCTGTACTTTCAACATAATACAATAGGTGAATTTACTTTTACAAGTGAAGTTCAAAACTACTTATTTTCTGAAATGAGTGTATTATCACTGGCATATCACTAGTTTTAGAAATAGGTAAGTAGGACTTTAAATATTATTGTTTTTTGATCTGGCAGTAGTGATTTCCAATAGCAAGGGCACTGCATATTAGAAATTAACATCCTCAAATCAGGTTTGGCGAGTTTGCACAACAGAATGGTCATGTCAATAGACCAAGTTAAGGAGCACATCAACTAGATTCCCCCTACAACACCCCCTACTATCATCCTTGAGCTCTAACTTTAACCTCCTATTTATAATCTTACCAATTACAGTAATAACATTATCTATTCCTTTTCTCGACATATGGACATATGAACATATTAATCAACATAATTTACAAACACACTGACAGACATACTGACACACGAAGACACATATACTGACACACATACACAGACATACACTGTCAGACATACTGACACACGTACACAAAGACATACAATGACAGACATATTGACATACACATACAATGACAGACATACTGACATACACAGACAGACATACTGACACATACACTGACAGACATACTGACACAAACACAGACACATATACAGACAGACATACTGACATAAATATATAATATAAATATAAATATACAATATACAATGAGAGACATCCTGACACAAACACAGACACATACACAGACATAAATGTACACTGACAGGCATCCTGACACAAACACAGACACATACACAGACATAAACATACACTGACAGGCATACTGACACAAACACAGACACATACACAGACATAAATTTACACTTTTAAACCCACCCACAAATTTCCTACCTTGGAAGGTGGTTCCCCAGTATCCAGACTGAAGGCTGAGGCTGTTGGGATCTGCCTCTCCCGGCACATGCTCCCTCCTTCGTTTCCCGCGTGGCTCTTCTCCTTAGTGGGAGGAAGTGACTCGCAGCCGTCACTACTTCCTAGCGTTGCCAAGAAGCAAAGGGCCTCGCGCTGTTAAAGGGCTACAGTGTGTGACCGGGCACCTGCTTACAATACCCACCTCCATGGCCTCCTTAATTTGCGAGCCGGCAGACCCAAGGGGAAAAAGTTGTTGAGGGCAGCGGGGCCCACGGGGAAACTGCCTTGGGCCCCCTAAGAGTAACTAGGCCCGGGGCAGCTGCCACATTTGCCCCGCGTTAAAGACGACCCTGACAGCAATGCCCAAGTCAGCCATAACCTGAGAGGAAGAGAAAAGCCCAGACACAACTTCAGTGTTATTATTGGCTTCAACGTCTGCTTTCTTGCCAAATGATGCCTGTGATTGGACCTTTTCGCAGGCTCGGAGTAGGGAGTCATGTGGTCTGCTTGCAAGGGAGAAGATTATGTCTGTTGCCATTGTACAGTGCATGCTGACGATATACATAAAATATGCACAGAATTGACATTTAGTAGCCCAGAACAGCAGCTGATTTAAGTGGTAACCTCAGAGTTTAAATATGCGGATCCAGAGAGATTTTCCTAAAATCTTTTACAGGGTTATTTGCTAAAGTGAGAATTCAGAGTGAATTTTAAATTTAAGACCAGAGAAGTCAAACTGAAAACATAACTGACTTAGAGAATTTTTCCAATTTGGATATTTTGATTTGAAATTCACTTATAATTCACTTTTGTGAATAACACTGCTAAGGAGAGAACTAACTTAAAGAAAAAAAAAAGTGTATTCACTT